ATTGAAAAAAAAGAAAAATGTTTGACAATTTAGTAAAACTAAAAGCTGCGCTTTTTGAAGGCGTGGGATTCAATCAAAATTAGCACAATCAATGCTTTTTAGACTCATTACCAAAAATATTCGAACTATGTATTGAAAATAAAGGAAACTATATTGGTCAATTACTTTAATTTAGAAAGTTTTAATTATTAATTTTTAGAATTGTTAATTTTTATTTTAGACTGTTTTGATCAATAACTTTGATTGTTTATATGTTTGTCGTTTTATGTATTTGATGGCTATTTTCAATTAATAAAATAAATTAATAATAATTATCAGTAAAAGTGTTGTATTATTTATCAAAATAGTGCCATCCGTCACATCGTTTGTTTAATGTTATGTTGTCGTTTATCTTATGTTTGTTAGAAATATGTGGTTTTACTCACGTTCAGTTTCAAAATGAACCACTGACCAAATAACGAACCTAGAAAATTAGGAAATATTTACCCAATATTTGGGTGATTTCCTGTTTTTTTGTTCAATAATTGAAACTGTATTGATTTTTGAGGGTTTTAAACTGTGTACCGTTGTTGGTTTAACAAACAAAAAAAATAAAAAATAAAACAAATATAAAAATAAATAATGGGAAATTGGGACAAAGGGTTTTATAAATTTTGGAAACGGTACAAAGTTTTAAAAACAGTTTATATTTAAATAATAGTTTTCAAATAATTATTATAAAGTGAATTTTGTTAATTGATTATATCAATAATCTTTAAAACACAACAAAAATGCCAAATAATATATAAATTTGATTTTTGAATTAGAGATGCATTTGTTAAAAAATATTATTGTTATGAAAATTTTTGTGTATACATGTTTTGAAAAATAAAGAAACCGTTTAAAACAAAAAATCTTTTACAAATTTGTTTATTTATTAATCATTGTTTTATCGATCTTTAAAACCTCGCGTTTTTAATTTACTCGAATACATAAATTGTCATCTCATAAACTTTACATTATTAATATGTTATTTGTTATCAATTTTTATTGTATGAAATATTCAGAATTGATTTATTATTTATTGTATTTTTTGTAAAAAAAGCATAAAATATTCGATTTTTTGTTTTGTGATTTTTATTAAAAATTGACTTTTTATATTAGATAAATATCTGTTTTCTGTTTTCAACTCAACCATGGTCAGTCAATTAGTGAATTAGAAAAATTTTTTTTGTTAATATAAATACCAAAGATCATCTTTCAAAAAATTTATAAATAATATTTTAAATAAAATCACTTGTTTAAAAATAAATTTTTTATCTTAGGGAAAAAAGACCAAATTGACTGAAATTTTGTGTAAGATATTTACTATCATTAAAAAAAATAACAATCCTCATGAATCCTTTAAATAGGCCCTATCGATGATATGAAAACAATTAATTTAAAAATTTACTTACAGCTTTAAAAATTTAAATTGTTTTTTTTGTATTTAAGTAACGAAAAAGGGAATATGCCGATTTACAATAAAAATAATTATTTCGACACAATAGTTCTTGAAATCTTTTGAGTTGTGACAATCTTGAAGGTCACCTATTATATTTTAATAATTTAACTATTAAAACCAATAAAAATATTATTTATAGACTATTTTATCATATTTATAGATTACAATATTATGTTATAAATTGACTCACAAAAATACAAATCAAAAACCAGAATTAATAATATTAATAAATTCTACCAATTAAGTAATCACAATCGAAAATATTCTTTTTGTTTCGAGAATAAAAAATAACCAATCACTTAACAATAAATGACAATAAAACATAAAATAAAAAAACTCAAGTAATTTGGTTATTGGGTTTCTTAAAAGCAAAAAATAATATAGAAAACCTCGTTGAACTCTAAAATAAAAATATGGAAACCATTGAAATGAAAAAGAAGTTTGTTTCAAACACAGTTATTCCAAAAATAACACGGCATAATAAAGTTATTTCTCAAGTTATTACTCACCAAAACTCGCGTTTTTTAACAGAAGTTGCACGGCCCAAAAAAGTCAATTACTTAGCAAATGAAAGAATAAAATACGAAGCTGCTTTTAATAAAACTTTTGAAAAACGGAAGTTGGTGTTTATTAAAACACGTTTAAAGAAAATCGATCTTCAGTCTGCAACAACGACACACAAAGACATTTCTCTTCATCTAACAATAAAAGGAAATCGATCTCTTTCTAATTCCCAAATCCAACCTTCGACAACTCAAAGACAAAAAGAGCGTATTTGCCAGAAGAGTGTTGTGACTCCACTAAACAACAAGTCTAAGACGCAAAATCGCCCAATTATCGAAAAGACAAAAACTTTGGAAAAAAGTCAGAAACTAAAAATTCCCAGAAACCCCCAATTTGAAAAAATCAAGGAAAAAAAAGAATTTTCCTTAAATTCGAAAATTTTTCGAACTCGACCAGACTTTGATAAACCAAAAGACGCCGACGAAACAGAAGACGAAATCACTGAGACTACAGAAGACACCATTGATGAAGTTCCTCGTTATCAAGCGATCTCACCTTCAAACCAAACATCACTAGATTATATCATTAAACTCGTTTCGTTCTTTCATCCAGTCGTCCGCCCGAAATGGTGCCTTTACACTTCACAACGAATTCTGGAGGAACTTCTTGTCTTTGGCGACGACGTCACGGTGTGGCGGGGAGGGATATTAACTGTTATTGGACTTTATAATACACAGAAAATAGTAGACGTACTCATGCAGAGTATTGCAGTTTCTTATGAAATCAAGAGGAACGCACTTCTCATGAGGAAGATAAAAACGTTCTTAGAGGAAATACGTTGCGGGAGTCTGAAAGGAAAAAAGACGTTTGAAACCCTCAACAAAGAGAAAGTGCACTTTTGGGGAGTTACACAAGACATCACACTCTGCAGATATATTTATGAGGTCGGCGTGGGAATGTTTTATTTGTATATTCAAAACAGTATGTTAGATGTTGCCCTTCAAACCTTTGCGTTTTGTTGTTTGTTTTTCTCTTTATTGTATTGTATTAAAATGTTATTATATAATAGTAAATTTTGTATTATAAAAATTACTATTGTAATTATTATAATTTATAATACAATTCATTTTTTTTAAATAAATTAAAAACTCATAGACAGATTCGTATGAGGAAAAAGAAAAGTTTTTAAGAATGAGAATGAATTTATATTTGAATAAATTGGATTGAAATGTATTTTAAGGTGTTTATTTTAATTTGTTTCATTTAAAACATAAACTCAATTTTTTATAATGATTAGTGACCTAATTTAATTGATTCTTAAAATATTTATGTTGACTATTTTACATTTATGACAACCACGTAATTGTTTATATTTGATAACAATCAAAGGCGTCTATTTGTCGTAAATTCAACAAAAAAGGTATACATTTGTTGTAAATAAGTCAATTTATTTTAGAGTTCTAATTTATATTGAAATTTATTTTTTATGAAAATGTAAGTTTTTAATTCAAGAAAAGTTACAATTTCGAAAAAAATTTATTAAAATGTAACTGTATCAATAAAATTATAAGTACCATAATTACAATCACCACTTAAAATAATGCAACTTATTATTTTTTTGTACCATCAATTTCAAACAACATTTCAAGTTACACAACTTTATAAAAAAATATTCTTTGTTGAAACGTAAATATGACTGATAAAAGTTTGTTGTTTAAAGTTTTCAAAGTCGCTAACGTTTTTATATAAATAAAAAACAAATATAATAATTTGAAAAAACAAAAAACAAGTTTAAATTCATATAATTTAAAATTTAACAAAAACAAACATTTCATTGTTTTTTGAACAAAATCCCATTTTTGAGTATTATTACTAAAAAATTTCAGGACATATTTTTTGACTAATTTTATCTATTATAAAATACCAAAGTCAATCCAATACATGATCAGCTTTTAAACGTTATTTGGTACTTATTAGATATAATCAATTGAAAAAAATCAACATTTTCATACATTTTATTCTTGTTGTTACAGTTTTTTCATATATTTTTGAATTTTTACATAATTCACATTATTTAAACAAAAATACAACAATTCAATTACAAATAAACATCGTTAGTAGAGCAACTCTATTTGGTTTGTTTTGTATTAAAATAGTAATAATTTGGACACTAAAGTAACTAAAAATTGATAATCTCAAAATTTTATCTGTATATCAATTATATTTTGAATACCAATTTAAGTTGTTTTGCCATGTGTTACCATTTTTAATTACAATTAAAAATATTTGGTTTTTATTTTTTAAAATAAAGAATACAGTTTGCTATTATTTGTTTTTTTTGCAACGCATTAAACAAAAAACTGCAACTTGAAAGACTTTGTTTGTATATGTTATTTAGATAAACGTTAATATTAAAGTTCAGATTTCAACTTAAAAATAATCATATGCCATCCCGCCTTGAGTTATTTTTTATGATGAACGTTGCGAAGTATTTATCAAGTGTCGATGACCTTTACGAGTTTTGCAGAGTTTCAAAAAAGTGTCAAGAAACTTTAAATGCATTCCAGCAGAACTTTTTCTTTGTCGATTCAACGATAGAACGTGAACTCAAATTTTTCAATGGAATTCAAAATTACAAGGGATATAATACAATCACGACATTTCCACACAAACAATTTGAATTTTATGATATAAAAGGCGTCGTCGAAGGAATTCCTCTTGAAAAAATCCGCTCTTTAAATACGGGGATCATTCCAGATGATTGTGAAAAAATGACAAATTTGAGACATTTGGAATTTTACATTGAAGAAGATGATGATGGGTGGCAATTAGTTGATGCAGATGACTTTAAGCCATTGAGTCTTCTTGAGAATCTCAAAACAGTAAAGTTTGTAATAGAAAATCCTCCATTTACACCATTGGAAGAATATGAAAAACCTGATATTTATGAAGACTTTATTGATGCAATCACCAATATAGGGCCAAAACCGTTAATAGTTGTTGTAAATTGTGATCCACAGTATACCAACCGGATTCTAGCCATTGGAGACAACGTCCGAGTAAGACAGATTGTTCGTAACATCGACAAATTTTCTCAAGAAATTAAGAACGAAAAAATATATAAAGTGACTAACTGTATCTCGGGCGACGTGAATGATCTTATTGATGGGGATGTCATTCAGAAGTATGGGTTCCCAATCGTTAAACTTCATAATTGGGAATACAAACATAAAAGTAATGAAAAAACATTCGACTTGAGTAAGTACAATGCGTTGTATGACCTATCTCTATCTTGTAGGGACTTCGAGTATAATTGGGTATTACCAACCAATTTGACTCGACTCTATATGTTTGATCAAAACATTGTGAATTTGAGTCAACTTCAAAATCTACAGATATTAATTACAAACCAAATTCCTCAATGTCAGTTGAATCAATTAACTTATTTTGAATTGTCCTATCCAAAAAAATTTAATGCAAAAGAAATCAATGATATTGGAAATGTCAAAGAGTTTATTATCGAGTGTTTTAGAGAAGAGTTGCTTGATCTGTACGACTTAAAATTAACTAATGTTAACATTAGACATTTTAATGGGAAGAATATCGTGTTATCACCCCACATAGAATCGCTAATTGTTTCCAATATAAATATTGAGCAACTCGTTATTCCCAAATCCGTCAAAACTCTATATTGTCATGCTTCAGAAAACCTCATCTCACTTCAATTTGAAAATGGAATTCAATTAGAAAGTGTCATATTGTATAGTTGCGAAAACCTTAACAAATTCACTTTACCCAAATCAGTTAAGACTCTCAAGTTGGAGTCCGACATCGAAGCTAAAATCCTTAACATCCAAGAATTGATTTTATAATTCAGGGAGCTTTGATATTTAATTTATATATTTATTTCACAAAATAGGATATAGTTTTTGTTATTTATTTTTGTTTTTAGAATTATTTTTATTATTTTGAATCTATGTTTTTTCCATCATAACCAACTTTGACAGTTTGATTAATTGTTTTTTTGCACAAACATTGGGTGCAACAACATAAATAACAAAGTTGCTGTTATAAACAATTGTACGGTCAACATCTTTTATTATATTATGTAATCGATACAATAAAATAAATTTTATACAAAAAGAACAACATGATTGACAGAATCAATCATCGATTCCAAGTTTTGTAGTCGATAAAAATTTGCTCACGAGAAATAATTTTGGTGACGTGGACGTCAATTTGCTAAACATAAGAGTTAATTAAAAAATGATGAAAAGTTAAATTGTTTTAAATCAAAATATTTTAAGTAAATAAATACAATTAACTAAGTTTGTTTCAAATATTTTTTCGTTATCTTGTTTAAATTTATTACCAATTCAATTGTCTTTATTTACTTTTAAACAAATAAGATAATTCATTAAATAGGTTAAACCTTATTTTAGTTATTTGTTGTGTTATTGGTTATTAAGTTACTGAATAGTTACATTAATTATAATATTTTTGTACTTATCTTTTTCCTGTAAATTGTAAACATTTTTAACTAAAGAAGACTTTGAATAATATGTAAACTTTTAAAAATGACTTTATATTACAGATAGCAAAATTAATGGGTTTAAAAATGTGCAAGTTAAGGTAAAGTTCATTTATATTTTTTTTATTAAAAAAATAAAATTATTTATTTTTCCAAATTTTGAAAAAAAAATATATATATATATTAATTATAATTTTAAAGTTATTTTTAAACTATACTTTCACTTTCACACCCCGTGATGACGCAATTTTTAATTTTAACGTTTCGAATTTAAGCAACATTTTTGGGAAAGCGACCCAATGGAAAAATTCAAAAAACAATTTCAGGACAACAGTACACATCGATAAGTGACAACGAACTGTATTTTTCTAACAGACTATTTGTTATTCTTTGCTATAAAATAGCACCAAAAAACATAATGTTTACCATACCTTTTCTTGACGCTTTAAATTATGCTAACACAAGAGACATTGACATTTATTCACGTCTAGAAACAAAACAGTTTTTACATAAAACACATAGACAAACCATTACACAATTTTTATTATTTGATTTGCTTATTGTAGTTTATTAATTCAAGCACCAAAGGGTTGTGTGTTTTTTGAAACAATTTGGAAACGAATAACATTTTAAAAATAAAATGTTTTTATTTAAAATTTAGTCTTGCACGCCCTTTACCTATGAAAGAGACGAAAATTATTAAATTGCACACCCCAGGCTATTCACTTTACTTTATTAATTATTGGTTATGAAAGTGTTAATAATTACACTTTTTGTTGTTATTACAACAAAACAAATACTATTTATATAAAACTTTTAAATATTAAAAAATGTGAAGATTTTTTAATATTATAATTTAATGTGTTTTTAACAAGTAAAAATAAATTAAAAATAGCTTAAAACAAGCAAACAAGTAAAAGAGCCAAGAAAGCAAATATTTCATAAGCTCCTTGAGAATAAGTGATATATTCGTCTCCAACCAAGTTACATTTGTTCAATTCAATTTTGTTTAAAGATTGACTGATTCCAGTACAATCTGAAGTAGTTAGATAATACGTTCTTGATATTATTCCATCTTTAATTTCGGATTTTGTTGAACCAACTATTTCCTTTTGACATTCTTTATATAGAGTTTCTAATGGATGACCACCTTTTTCTGAGATTTTGCAATTTTTCGCGTCCATGTAATCATAGATGACGTACTTGTAAAGTGGCAAATCCTTTTCAAAGCGTGTTGTCGGACTTAATGATTTTTTCCCTTTGTCTACCCAATTACCACAAACATTTGATTCATAAGCTCGAATACCTTCACCATCTTCTTCTGCTTTTACATAAATACCAGATCCAATGTAATAACACTGTCCCAATCTCACAACGGTGGTTTGTGTACTATCAGTTGAAACAGCATATTTGGCCGAATTTAAAGCGATAAAGAGCAAATATATGAACATGAATAATTATTAAGTTCAAATGTTAAAATAATAATTTTTTTGTTAAAAATTTTTTCAACCTCAAAAATTTTTGTCAATTTCTAAATGTTATTATATAATTTTTATTTAACTTTTGAGTGTCAAACAAAAAAATAATATAATTTAAAATTAAAGTTGATAAATACATTTACTCTTTATCTAACCAAGTTAATAGATTTATTGTTTTTTGATAACAATATATCAAAAACAATTTCTTGTTTTCAAACAGAATGTTTCAAATTATTATGGATGCGCTAAATCTTTTAAAGCCACAAAATCGGGTCACAACTCCTAAATATTTTCCATTTTATAAATAAACAGACAATCTCTTTTTTTGAACAAATAAATTGTTAACTTTATTATGGTAATTGTGATATATATATATATTATTAAAAAAAATATTTTTTAACAAATTTAGAAAATAAAAACAATTATTTATTTAATAAATAATTCATAATTTAGTTTTTATTTTATTTGTTTGTTTATAATTTAAAATTGTTAAATTAATTAATATGAACATATTATTATTTGATGATGTTTTTTATAGAATATGATATAACCAATCAAATCAATAAAAAATAACATGACCAACTCAAATATGAGTATTACAATTTTGAAAACCTTCATCACTTCTTTACTGGTATTATTTCTATGCATGTTGTAAACGAAAAAAAGACTGCTTATTGACATTTTGTTTTTTAAAACATAATTGTTTAACCTTTAACTGTCAAACTCAAAGATTTTGTGATCTGTTTAATTCATTTTTGATTCGTGAATGATTTATAAAGATGTTACCTAACTGAATTATAATATAAAGAAAACTTTTTGTTGTCAATTACTTCAACGTTAAATCATAAGAAACTATGTATTTTTTCTTTTCAAAACTGATAACTTGTTGTGTATAAGTAATTTATTAATTATCAGTAGTTACTGTATTTACACAGTAACTACTAGTAATTTGTTTTGTGTTCCTCGTGATATACATTAAAATACTAACATCAAAGCAATGTTAGTAATCTTATTTGATGTTTTGCATATAGAAAAATATACAATCAAAAGGTTTTTTATTTTTTATGTTAAATGAGTTCCATGTAAAAAAACATGTTTTTTCTTGTTGTTTTTTGGTTGATATTATAATTGTGAATCGATTTATTATTTTTTAAACTTTAAATTGAAAAAACAATTGTATTACTATAAGTTATTAACTTGAATAGAATTAACTATTAAAGATTATTAAAAAAACAATGATATATTATATCACAACCGCCTCTTCAACACATAAAATCTAAAAAACATCTAAAACGATTCATATAATGTTATAGACCACCATTTCAGATTAACAGATCAGTTTCAAGATTACAACATTTTTAAATACGACATCAAGATTATTTTAAAAATACAAAGTGGAATGAAACAATTTTTAATTATTAGAGTCATTCTCTAAACGTTGTCCCTTTTGCAAAAAAAATACACAAAAAATTCTTTAAAAAAATGGGAATTAGGTAATAAATTTTAAAACTGTAAAAAAACTGAAACAATGATTGTCTGGCGTTTTGAAAAATTTCCAATATATTTCAGTTATTTATATCTAAAAACTGACGGACAACGTTAAGAAAATGACTCTACACATTTTTTTACAAAATAAAATTATAATTTTGTTTTATTCAAACTTTAACACTTTCAAAACAGAAACGTAATAATAATAAGTTTTTATTTTTTTCTTTTATTTAAACTCTTTATTTGCCTTTATACACAAAACAAATTTTTGAAATTATTTATTTATTTTTTTAATCAACTTAAAATTGAATTGTATATTTTATAGTCACACAAATAAACATGAATGAGTTTATTTGTGTTAAACAAGAGCAAAGCATTAGAAAGAAAGATGGGGTCTAATGATGGTTTGATATATTTGGTTGTTTTTATATAAAACGTATACTGTCATTTGATTATAAAGTAAATAGTGTTTTTAAAGTCGTTATTTATTAATGTGACTATTTGACGTTGTTAATTAAAAAGTGGATTGACGATGTAGCGTTTTTAATTTTAATGTTGTAACACAATAAAGCGATATGAAATTTCATCCGAAAAATTATTTTTGATCAATCTTAGGTAATTGAGTTCTCATTTGTTAATTATTTTAAGTAAAATAAAACTGACTATTGGCCAGTTTGGGTTAGAAAGGGGGTTTGGAATAAAAAATAATAAAAAATGATTTGGACAATTTCCTTTTTACTTATTTTTCTTCTTAAAAAAAAAGTTTTGGGTTGTGAAAGTGTTAAATTAGAATTGCCATCAAAAAGTTTATTTTAAATTTTCTGAAACAATTATTTAATAAAAATCAACAATTGTCTTTTTAACTTTGTTTTAAAGAGCCCCGTTTCTTTCATGGGTATAACAGTCATACCTCTGATTGATTCATTTCAATGCCCGTTCCTCATTGTTAACAAGAAAAAGATCTCTTGTTGCTACCGTCATACCCCATACCAAAGTTTATCTTCTGTTACCACTTTATCAGTCTTTTTTGTGACTTTTTGACAATTGATAAAGAACTTTTAGTCTTTTTCCCTTTTATATGTAAACGCTTTTTCAAGCTCAGTTTCTTCTACTAAATCTACATCAGTCTTTTACGATAGATTCACCCAAATCAATTAATGTTGTCTAGGAACTTTTCTCCTCTTCAGTCCTTAGATATTTTTTTCCTCTTCTAAGTATTTGCTACTTTCACCAAGATCTATACTCAAGTCTGTTTCAATAGAAATTACTTCTCTACCTTTATCACTCACGTATTCTTGACACCGTGCATTTCTTTACTCCTCGTGTGCCTCAGCCTCCACAAGGATACAGTATCACTCTCTCTCATTAAAATACCTTCCATTTTCAATGCTCATCCATTCAATAGGTGAGTTGTTACACACTCCTTAGCGATTTCCAACTTCCATAACCATCGTCATATTGTAAATATATATAAAAACATTTCAACCTTTAAACCAATAGTGTTTATTATTTTTTAGGGTTAAAAACTTAACCCGGAATTATTTTATAAATTTTATAATAAATTATCTATTATTTTTAGGGTCAAAAAGCGGGAAAATTCAGCAAAACATTCCAAACATAAAAAGTAAAATATGGATTTAAATGTTTTTCTAGTTAAAATTCAAAAATAGCCTCAAATACTCCACATTTAGTATCAAAAACCTCCTTTTTATACCATTCTTTTATTTTATAGGCTTACTTGACCGACTGTACAGTAAAACCTTCCAAGAGTGGGAATGAATTTGAATTTCGTTCTCTCAAGAGCGGGCAATTTCAGCCAACAAACCTTAATTAGCACTAACGAGAGAACTTTATTTTTAGTTTCAGTCTAAAAAATGCCCTATCTTCTGAGAACCCACTCTTTAACAATTTTACTGCATGTTTTTTACATTATTATTATTATTATTATAAAAAATTGTAAAATTGAACTATAGATACATTTTTGTTATCTTTTAGCATTAAAGCCAGTTTGATACATAAATAAATAAAAAATAAATATTTAAGAGATAAAGAATTTATAAAATGTAATTTAAAAACTGTTGTTTTCATAAGAAGTGTTATACCGTCGTCTATCACGTGACAAAAGTGTTATTTTTTCTGTTATTTGCCACGTCACCAAAGTGATCTTGAATTTGAGTACACTCGGTTTTTTTAAATCTAGCGGCGAGCTTAAAGCCGACTTTTGTGAAACAAAAAACTTTGAAATAGATAGTTATTTGAATCAACACTTGGCCAAGTAATGGGAAAACAAGCCAATTCAATTCTTAATTATCGATTTATATTTTATTATCGCTGTGATTGCCATAATTAACACAATAATTGTGACAAATGCAGCACTGTTTTACATATCAAACCGAGAGTTAAAAATAACATCTTAATAACACAAATAACAATGAAATAACAGTCTATTAAATAATTGTATTTTTATGAATAATATGTAATAAAATAAACCTATTCAACTTAAAACAAAGTTAAAAAGCCAATAACTTATAATTAACCCTTCCAATACCAGAAATATGCTTGTTATAACACGCATACAGATCAATATAAACTAAAATTTGTAAACTAAAAGTTATTCAAATTAAACAATATTAAGTTTTAATATTGTAGTTTTCAGTTTATGTTTGATGTATCATTTATAAAATGAAAAAAGTTTCCACGTTTTATTTTTGTAGTTATATAAATTAAAAGTCTAACACAGTTGTGTTATACATATTAAACTGTATTTCAAAAGTAAGTACTACCGCTAAAAATTGAGAAACTATTATTAGCTGTTTTCCCGTTTTATTGTTATTAAAGACTTTGTTTTATTATTTATCTTTTTAAAAAAAACAAAAAACGGTACCGACTTTTTTGACCTAAAAAAACAAACAAATTATATTATTTTCGTAATTTTTCGGGCATTTGTCGAAACGTTGGGAAGTCTTTTGCAATTTTTCTAAGACGTTATTTCTTTTCGAGTCAAAATAATGAAAACAATTTGAATACATATAAAAAAACAAACAAACATCCTCTGAAGACGAACAAAGAAATGATAAAACAAGTTCAAAAAGAAAAAAATAAAAAAAATTGATAACGGATTAAAGCAAGTGTCCGATAAATTCGCCGTTGTTTTCCTTGCACAATTCAAACCTTTTTGGAATCGACATTATGTAGTTATCAATTGTCTCAAGAGGTATTGAATCCCAAGCCCTTTCAAGAGCCTCTTTGAGTTCTTCAATGTTCTCGAAGATTTCCTTTTCTTTTCTTACTAAGGTGTCCAAGTATTGCCATAAGTGTTCAATTGGGCTGAGGTCGGGGCTATTTGCAGGCCATTCTTTCAGTAGTCGAACCATGAGCTTCGGGTCCAAGCCTTCAAACCATTCAATTGTGTTTTTCGCTGTGTGGGGTCTTGCACCATCTTGTTGAAACACCATCCCGTGTTTGTACACCTTCTTCGCGTTTTCAAACACTCTTGATTCGGCCAACATTTTTTGATAGTTTACCGCGTTCAGTGTTCCGTCGACGAAAACGAGTTTTGACTTGAAATGACGCCCAATTGCTGCCCACACCATCACACCCCGATTGAACTTGGGAGTTGGCACAAACGCCTCCTTATCAAGATCTCCACGTCTTCTCCAAACATATTTTCCGTCAGAGTATAAACAAAAACGACTCTCGTCGGAAATGAGAGTGTTTTTGGTCCACGTCAAAATACGCTTTGCGTTTGCCAGCTGTTTCTTAACAAAAATAAGTCTTTTTGTTATGTGTAATGGTTTCAGAGCCGGCATTTTTTTCTGCTTTGCAAACACAAATTTGTTCTCTTTTCTAAGACGATAGACACTTGAAAGAGAAACTTTAACATCGTTGGAAACCATAAGACAAGAAGAAGATGGGTTAGTTAATGTTCGTGTGACAACACTTTGAGCAACATTAACACTGATGTTTTTTGGTCTTCCCATCTTCTTTGGCTTTGTCTCCTCTCCCCTTTTGATACTAGCTATTTTTGTTTTGGAAACTCCACAAAGCAGTTGGATCTCGCGATATGACAGTCCTCTTTCCAAAGCCATCTTGACCCTCTCATTCTTCCCTTCTTGCTCGCGTTCATAACTTTTTCTTGGTTTAGACATGATTATTTAGTTTTTTTTTGTTATTCAAATTGTTTTGGGTTTCAAAATTAATGTTTCTAACTTTTCGGCAAAATCGATTATTTTGTCAAGTCTTTTTTTCGTTGAAGAAAGTTATTTAGAAATTTGGAGGGAAAAATAATGCGAATATTTTGTTTGTTCGAGAAAAGATAAAAGTGGAAGACAGTTATTTGAAAAATAAGACGAAGAAAAATGAATAAAAAACAGAGGTAAAAGAAAAGAAAAAAATGGGTTGTTTATTTAGCAAATATTGGGGTAATTTCGGTACCGACTTTTGGAAAACAGTTTAGTTATACAATATATTTTATACTAATTTAGAGTAATGTATATAAAGGTTCTTTCTCTGAAATGTGAAAATGTAGTTATGTTATTCATATACATTTAATTTATTTTGTGTAATGAAAACGAATTTTTTAAAACGATAGTTAAGAAGAAAAATTTCGTAAAGATATCTCGTATACATATGATTCTCAACAAAAGTTCATAAAGTGAGAACGATAATAATCAGTGTGGTTGCACAACTAATATCATAATATTTAATTTTTTCTTACATATATTAAAATTCAATAAACTGTCAACTTTTTTACACGTTCGTTACAAAACATCAAAACATTCACAATAAAAACTAAATTAAAATAATTACTTTCGGATTTTTCAAAGTATGACGTATCCCTTGTTTTTCAACGAAAGAATTCTTAATGGAATTTTATTTGATACGTTATCTTATTTTAAAACTTTGTTTTCAGAAAGACTTATAATGTATAGTTTATTATACTATACACAG